TTTTTTTTAAATCGAGATAATATTTGCATACATGCAATGTTTGCTCAAAAGTTCGCAACAACGAAGACGCCGGTTAACTAATGGAAGGTTTGTTCGGTTTTTACCTTCGTGCAACAAAGGGATTGTAAACTATTGGATTATATTGCTAACATTGTTATTACTTCGTTCAAAGATATTTTGTTAAGGGGGAAACAATTAAAAAAGGGGGAATAATATTATTGTTATTCTTTACTCGATGCTACGTGATGATAATTGAATGTTGTTATAAATGTTTCTAAGTAAACGACTCTGGAATAAAATTTGACGATGTCTCCTCTCATATTTATCTATATAATAATTATTATTAATCTTTATTTTTAAACGCAATACGAAATAAATAATTACTCGGAATTATCGATCATATTTTTTTGTTGTTTTGTTTTCTCCTTGATAGATATTTTGTAAAAAACGATGTTCCATCAAATATCACACCACCGAATATTTGAACAACGGGGATAAGAAATAGTATAAAAATATGAAACCATAATGGTAGATATTTTCATAATACAACTGTGTGTGTTTACCTAAATGTTTAATAACGTTTTTTTTTTTTTATAGTATTAGTTGACACTTACGTACAAGTTTTTAAATAATATTGGATTTAAAAAAAAAAAAAAAAAGAATTATTCAACTAAATTCTATTATAATTTTTGATCAGGTAGGATTTACTATATAGGGTCTAGCTATATTTATACAGAACACTTTGATTTTTAACTATCAAGGATTTAAATAAAATAAATAATTCTATTTGTTATTGTTTTTCATGTTGAAGAAAAAATTCGTCTAAACGCTATCTTTTTTTAATCCCTCTACGTTTGTTTTATTTCTTTTTTTTTTCTTCTTCTTGATTCATTCATTCATTTTCTGTTCTATCCGGTACTGACAGTTTCTTCTAATTTTTTCCTATGTTATCATCTACGTTCGCTTACGGTTCGCACCCCCTGAGGTATTCTTTGTCTTTATTTAATTGGCGTTTTTTTTTTTTTTCTATCGTCTCCTTTTTCATTCTTTTTTATTTTTCATTTCAATATCGATCCTTTCTGTACGATATCGTGGCTTCAGCTTCTGTTTCTTCAATTATTATTTATGAATAATTAAAATAAATTTGTAATTGTGTGGTATTAATTAGTGCCGTTGCACGTATTTTACTTTGTTTTATATCTAGAAATTATATTTGTAAATAATTATTTTTATTTTTATGAATTTTTTTTTTTTTAATATGAGATTGAAAAATGATTTAAAATTGATCTTATGATTTTTTTTCATTTTTCAAAATATTTAAGAAATTTTGTAAAAATTCAACACAATAAAATGAATGATTTTTTTTTTATTTTGCGAACTTGGACGTTAAATTGTTAACAGTTTGAAAAATTGCAAAATTTTTTTTCTTTCGTTGGACGGTGTACCACTTTTAATGTGTCCATTTTATTTCCATAACAAAACATATTTAAAAAAAAAAAATAAATAAAAATCGGTGATTCAACTTTATTAATTTAAATAATTTATAATAATTTTTAAATTGTACATAGTACAATATTTTTGATTAACAAATTTTCTCATAAATAATTCATTTTAATTTATTTATTTTATTTTAATTTAACCGTTAGAATCGTTTTTGTTTTCTTTTTTTTGATGTGTGTATCCAAAAAATATACAAAGGATACTTTAATATTGTTTAAAAGGCACGTTGAAATACATCAAATTAATGTAAAACATTTTGATTATTATATAACAATGATTGAAAAAAATATAAATTAATTTAAGTCAATGCTGAAGTCACGATATTTGATCATCTTTGAAATACATTTTGTGATAACACAAATTGGAGACGAAATATCTTTCCTTTTTTTTTTGTTATATTAATAAACAAAGATATCTTAATTATCGCATCGAGGAAGATAATAAATAACGAGCCTTGAATTTGCATAAACATTTATATATTCGCAGACTTGCAAGTCTATGGAAGATAATAGACATTTTTTTTTTTTTTTTAATGTAAATGACTTTGATTTCGATTTTTTTTTTTTATGTTGTTGCAATTTAAAAATCTTTTCTAATTTTAACATCAACTTCTAAGCACCTTGTTATGTATTGTGTGTGTATGTATATTTATATATATGTATGTATATTATATGCAGCTCATTGTAATTTTTTAAAACATCGTCGTAACGTTAAAATGCTCTTTTTTTTATAACTTTTTTTTTATGTTCAAAAGCTTACAAACTACTTGTGCGTTTAAAATACGAAATGCCAAAGCATATTGTTTGTTCGATATATCGAAACTTTTTGCTAATCAGAAGATACCAAGATTCGACTTCTCAATGCAACAAAAGAAAAAAAAATTAGAAAACAAATTGTATTTTATATATATAATAAAAATCAAATTTACAATTGTAAATTATATAAATAGTTAATAAATAATTCGTTGTTTCTATTAGAATTAATAAATACATTTGTTCGTATATAATCAATGTTTGGTTATAATCATGTAAAATAAACATATGTAGTATATAATGTGCACATATATTATGTATTTCACTATTAACATAAAATTATAGCAATTTTCTATATCGAATATATCGACTACTGCCAAGCATTATTATTATTACTATTATTATTATTATTTATTTATTTATTTTTTTTTTTATTCAAAGATCGAAAAAACCTTCTTATCTAGTAATCGCGTTTGAATAATTGTTTACATAGATAAAAATGAACAAATATCTGCAAATATATAGATATTTACACATCGATGCGAGGCTACGGGTAGGAAATACTTTTTTTTTTTTTTTGGAAATCCTTGAGAGTCGTTTAACTTTTTTGTTTTTTTTTTGCTTTCTATTTTTTACTTTCTTTTAAACCGTTTAAATAAAAATCCCTTAAAACAAGACGTTATTATATTTGTCAGACTTGATAAGGATCAATTACACGTTATTATTACATTAACTTTTTTGTCTTCACTTGATTTCTAAAAATCAGATTAGATAATTTTTATATATCTTGTGATTAAATCAGCTGATTTTTAAAGGAATTACATGTCACCGAATATACCAGCGAACGTTTTACGAAGATTTTTCATGGTGTCTTCGGAATCTTCACCTTGTGTCTGTGATTGACTACCTTGACGATGAAAAGGTACTCTTGATGGTATTGTAGGTGGTTCATCTGTTCTTCTACCGACCGATGGTGCACTGCTGACCGTGCTAGATTGGGATGCTGTAAATAAATCAAAATAGATAAAAATATCTTGAAAAACAAAACAAAATAAAAATAAACTACTCGTTAAAGTAGGAATAAGTAGAAATGATAAGAAAAAAAAAAAAGAAATAAAAACAAACCTTGAGAATCACGACGTTGAAGTTGATGATGAGTATCCGAAGTAGTAACGTCACCTGCTAAGGCCGTGGTAGAACCTAAACTACCTATGCTTGCCATCGAGGTCATACTTCCATGAGATCCTAAAGGTGCAGGTGGTGGTGCTATTGGCGGTGGTGCACTACGTGATTCTTCAACAGGACTCGTAGCTTGGCTAGAACCGGACATGGAACCCCTCGAGGCTGTTTTCGTTAAAACGCTGGGTGGTCGGCAACAGGCCTACGAGCAAAATCATTCGAAAAAAAAAACAAGAACAACAACGATAACAACAACAAAAATACCAAAGATTTTATCGTGTGGATCTTTGTAATGTGTAAAATTAATTCTGTAGAAAAATAAATACAAAAAGAAACAAAAATGTATATTAGTTGTTTATTTTGTAAGTGGCCTAAGTCCAATCATAGTCATTAAAAATATATTATTTCTTAAATAATGTTATTTATGCTAATTAGTACGATAAATTTGACACCCTGACGCAACCTAAAAACATTATTTTATTATATGTCATCTGTTATCTATGTTTTTAAATTTAATCCAACGAAAACCCTTAAATATTTCGATTCGAACATAAATGAACTAATTTTTAGGCTAATTTCAAAATAAATGGTTCATATTATCCAATTAATTCAATCTAACGTACTTGCATCTTAGCTGTAACCAAATCGGCTATATGACGACGATCTTCTTCCTGAGAATCTCCCATCAATGATAATGCGCTATCATTAACTTCAATTATGTGTTCTCGGCCATCTTTACCAACGAGAAGTTCGATAGCGCAAATATCCAAACCACCAAATAGTTGGCATACGTTGTCAATCCAAACACGATGTCTTTCGCTAACTGGTACTTGTTCCAACATGGCTGAACCGGTGTTTGATTTCCAATTACCAGTTATACTTTTTCGTCTTTAATAATAAATCAAAAATCATTCGTTATTGTTTAATATATATTTTTAATTTATTAAAAATGAACAAGCATGTACAAATGATTGCAACTGTTTTTTTTTCCACTACTTGTCCCATTTAATTTCAAACTTACAGGAAGGCCTTGTAATTGTTTCCTATTTTCTGCACGTGTACGTCAAATTTGGTGTCAACGTATGGTTCAGCGGTGATATAAGTATTCGCCAATGCTGCCAAAGATGCGAGATCCAAGAAATCTTGATTTGTTTCAGCTCGTGCCTTCCCAATACCTCCATGAGCGTGCCCTAATTTCACAACTACGGGGAATCGTGGTGCGCTTACCTGAAACAATACCAAAAAATTATCATAATTTTATCGTCCTAATACCAAAAGATCACCTAAAGATAATGGTATATTAGTTCGTTGAATACGTATTAACACTGTAAAATCAAAAATACAGAATGTCATTTAAAAAAAAAAATAAATAAAAGTAGCCCTAAAAACATTAAAAAAAAACATTTTTGTTTTAACTTTTTTATTGCAATATATAGTCCATCAAAAAACAACAATTGTATAGCCAATCAAAAAACAGATTAACTTTTGTTTAAAGTAGTTTTTTTTTGTTAGGTTAGGTTATCCCGTATAATTGCAAAAACCAAAAAAAATATTACGGGAGACACCCTGTATTCATTAGTATTGTCAATTTACATAAGTTAATGGGTTTAATTTATTTTATCTTTGTTAAAATGTTGGTAGCACACACAATGGTCGGTAATTTAGCATTTAATTCAAGTAGTTAATTCAAGCGTTTATGCTCCAGAGAGCGCTACTATATCGTTTTACTTCATGAAAGGTTATATATTATTGTTCATTTATAATTAGATTGTCTAGAATAATAGAATCACTTGATTTTAATTAAACATCTTCATTAAATCAATCTTCGAGCTTTTAATATTAGTTATCAATGAAACTATTCATCATTTATATACATTTTTTTGATAAATCCTATGAAAAATGTTAGAGCAATTGTACGAATAGAATTAATCTTTCATTTCTAAGAAATTCGATCATAATTTAAAGGATTTCTCGTTCACAAATACTTGTCAAATATATATAAAAGCCACAAAATTTGTCAACAATAAATATTCCTCGCATAAATCAAGTTTTTAAAAAAAAAAAAAAAAAAACTAATCGAAATTGGAACGTGAGATAACTAGGAAAAAAAGTATCCTTTTCCTTTTACACTAAACGAGTTAAAAAAAATTTTATCTAATTCCAGCGGCAATTGAGTTAGTTAATCGACAAACTAGAAAATAGCGTAAAACTTAAATGCTTTTTTTCTCAACGTTAACCGTTAGTTCAGATAGTTTTGGAATTCTTCACTGATAACTTGAATGTACGCTTTTAAGTGCGTGTATAGGGATAATTTCTAGGGATGTCTAACTACAATCTTTTTCTAATCTATATCCACGTTAGATTTTTGTTTCTATCCATTTAAATTTAAATACTAAAATGTACATTCCATCTTTCTACTTGAAAAAAAAAATAAAAAATAAAATAAAATAATAATAATATTTATTTGTATAATTATAATATTTATAATTTTTAATTTATAATAATATAATAATTATTTTATAATTATAATATTTATACATTTATTTATTTATTTTTTAATAAATAAATGTATGTAAATTTATTTGTATAAATCGAATCTAGGTGAATTAATTAATATTAATATTAAAAATGATTATTAAGAAATGATTGCAAAATGACAAATTGCCCTATCCCCCATAAAAAAAAATTTGTATAAATAAAATGTTAATATTTTTAAACAAATACGAACGTTATTATAAATAACAGAATGATCGTAGTAAAAGGTTACAAAAGGGGGTAGATGATGATAGTCAAGTGATAACGATGGACAACTTCCTAATCGAATATCACGAATTGTGTGCTTTAGAAAGGAAATCCGTTTGAACAAAAAACAAAAGAAAATAAAATAAATAAAAAGAATATCGAATTAATTGTTAAACGATTCGTCGTGACGAAAATCCTTCGATTTATTTGACGTAAAGAAAAAATATAAAAAAATAATAAACCAACGTCTCTTTTTTTTTTTTTCTTAAGCTTCTTGCAAAAGCACGAAATAGATTTTATTTGGTATAATTAAAAAAAAAAAAGTATTATTTTTATTATACATGACACTACGGACAAGAAACGAAGATCGTTTTTAAAAGACAAATTAACGCGTGTTTTAAAACGCGCTTTCTACTTTAACCCAATTCTTTCGTTCTCTTGCATTCTTGCACGGTATTTAAAAAAGCTTGTTGAAAATAAAAAAAATAAAAAGAAGTAGGGAAGAAAAAGCACACACATATATACACACATATACAGTGTGGAGTGCTTTTAAGATTTCTTTAATTTAACGTCAAGTTACTTTTGTCAAAAGGTACTTCTCAAAAATGAAAGAATATCTAAGGCTTAAGAACTAATTAACTCGTTAAAAGAAAACCCCTTTTTCTAATATTACATTTTCATTCACCTTACTTTATGTTGTTCAACTATATATATATAACCACATTTTCCACCCCAAAGAAAGTCCAGGTCCTGGACTTCTTAAAACCAGAATCGTCGGGGTTATCAAAGACCTTTAAAACGAGCGCGTGATTTAAAGAGACGAAAGATTTCGATGGTACTTGATGTAAAGTTTGCTTGTCTGACTTGTCTGCATTAAAAANAAAAAAAAGGAAAGAAAATAAGAAAGAAAAAAAAATTAAAAAATAATTAAAAAAATATATATGTAAAAGAAAAAAAAAGTGTGAGGAAATTGTACGAACTCGTAGGTGTTGGCAAAAGTTCTCTCCCTTTCTCTCTCTCTCTCTCTCTCTCTCTTTCTCTTTCTTTTGAAGTACGACTGGACGCGTGTCGGTTCTCTCGTGATAGGAAGACCGAACGACAGAATGACGAAAGAACAGAGAAAAAGATAGAAAGAAAGAGAGAGAGAGAGAGAGAGAGAGAGAAGATGTTAAGAAACTTAAAGAAGGACTGTAAAAGAGAGTGCGTGGGAGGTTTCAAAGGGCCAGCAATAGAGTAAAGAGAAAAAGAGAAAGAGAAAGAGAGAAAAGACAAATAACTCGGTGAGAGATGGATAATCCAATCTACGAAGGAGAAAACGAGAGAGAGAGAGAGAGAGTTTGAATTTTTGATTACAAAGAGGAGGTAAGAAGTCGCCTGAAGGTGCGACAAGACGTGAAGGGGAACGAGGTGCAAGGGGAGAAGAAACAGCAAAAGAGAAAGAGATAGAAATAAGAAGACTGGAAAGAGACCGGAACAGTTATGGATGGTCAGTAGAGTGGGGGACAGAAAGAGAAAGACTGATCGAGATACTTGATAGGTTTAAGAGAGACAGAGAAAGGAATCGAGATGACTATAGGCGCTTATGTTAGAGAGTAAGAAAGATCGAGTTAGTACGAAGAACCGAGAAAGTAAGAGAGACAAATAGAAGGAGAGGGAATGAGAGAGGGAATGAGAGAGTGAGATAGAGATCGAGCGTGCCGGGAACGACGTAAGAACGTAGGAAGGAAGGAGAGTCTCTCGTGTCGTTCGTGCTTGCATTGCTTTTCGAAGCTCGCGCGCGAAAGGTTCATTCGTTCGTTCGTTCCTATTACTTGTGGAGATAACTTTTTGCCGGTACAATTAATCGAAACACGTGAAAAATAAGATATCTATCTTTAACGATTATATTCCTCTTTTTATTTATTTATTTATTTGTCATTTTATGTTTCTATCTTTCTTGATCTGCCTATTTATTTATCTATGTTTTTTAATGTGGGACTTTTAAAACGAAAAGAAAGTGTGTGTGTTACTAATACCTGAGACGCGTTCATTAATAATTAAATTTAGGTATTGTTTGTTTTGTTTTAGATTATTGTCATCTTTTCTTTTTTCCCCTCTCTCACTTTTTTTCATAATTTTTAATATTTGATATATTAAAACGTGGTGAAAGGATTATGTTGTTGATATTGTTGATACTCATTTATAAAACGTGATTTTAAATTAAAAAAATAAATAAAAAGAATCACTTCATCATAACTGGTTACCCCTTAAGTTCATCTCCTTTTATCTTCTTCTGCTGTCGGAAGAAGTCATCATAAGAAATTAATCTATCCAACCCTAAGCGAGAGGGAGGAAAAGGGGTGGTTGACCAAAATCCGAGCTCGCTTATTTTTAGTATATACGTGGACGGATAATTTAGCGTGACTTCTCTTTAAGGTCAAACTGAGACGAAAAGAGAGGAAAGGTCGCGCACAAATAAACATCGACGAGAAGAAGAAAAAGCCGCTAACGGAAGGACTCTATCTATCTTTCTCTCTCTCTTACACTCTTTCTATCTCTACTCGTTGAAGAAGGGGTCACGGAGAAAGGTATCTATATCGTTCTCTCTATTGGTTACGATTTTCACATGCTACTCTCTAGGATTGTATTATTTGCATGGGATATTGCATATATACTTTTGATAAATCATGTTGCGAATGTGTCTTATGTCGTATCCCATAATTTTGTTGATTTTTTTTCCTTATCTTATTTTCATACAATTTATTTTATTTTATTTTATTGTAGTTAATTTAATTTAATTTTATTTTATTTTATTTTTGCTTTTTGGTCAATAAGAAAATTTTTGTTATATTTTAAATTATATTTATTATATACAAAAATTATATATGTCTGTATATTAAATAATAAAATATTATATATTATATATATCATTATATTTAAATTATATTTTACATATTATAAATTATATTTATATAAAATATTAAAAAAAAATTAATAAATATTAAAATTTAAATATAATTCTTCTTTATATTTTAAAATATGATTTTATTATATTTATTCGTAGTTTAAAAATAATTCAAAGAGTTTATCTTAAGATATTGATTTTAAAATGATTCCAATCGAAGATCAAAATAAGGGATAATTTATTTTGAAATATAAATCTTTCCAATTTCTCATTGATGATAGGGTAAATATTATGAATAAATATATATATGAATGAAATAATCGTGATTATTATAAGGGACCGATGAATTTTCTTTTATCATTAATGGTGAACTATATTTTAACGATACAATTACCATTTTTCATAGAATCACGTCACCGAGAGTATTATCGATGATATCATCGGTAAATAAACTTGACCACAGAGTTTATCGAATGACGATTATCGATTTGCTTCTATCTGACATCAATGGCGGTTGCCTACGAGGTTTAAATATTGCGTACCCTGTGTGTGTCTGTTACAATAAAATAATGCGAAAGATTGTATTTTGCTTTTTCATTTT